TAATTTTGAGATTTAGACATATTTTGTTATCATTTTTTAATTTAAGAAAATCACTTTTATAGTGTCAGAGTTAGTCAAGGAAGATTTGATGGAATGAAGAAACTTGGCATACATATTTACTTTATACTGATATATGGGATTATATTACTTTACCTTTATGTAATCAACAATTTATTTATACTCTTCTGTCTCATTTTTTTGTGGTTAGGATCACAAATCTATTTATTTATTTGAACACATCATCATTACTACAAAGGGGCACTGAATACATATGCGCCACACAAGTCACTTGCTTCCTCTATGGGCTGTAACACTGACCGTGTGGTCAGACCGAAGCAGGTGGTTTTCCTAGGGGGAGCCTTCGACCTATAGGTCTGATTCACAAGGTAGTGGAGCATCGTAAGGAGATGCAGTTTCATGGTAGCCGATCACCAACGATTGGTTCACACGTCATTTGTTTCCTCAGGATACCGGAGCCCATGAGCACCATTGGTTTGGAATCAGGGTTTTCCAACTCCCCTAGGTGAAGTCACCGTGTCCACCGGCCAGGTTAAAGTGCCGGACATTCACTTTTCGTCCTCTCAATTCTGTAAACAACACGCGTGGTGCGAGAAGGCAGTGGGTAAGACTTCTCTGACAGTGGTTGCTCGCGCGAGGCTATGTGAGAGCATTTCGAGATGAAGAGTTGGCTCTCCTCGCTGTAAGCTGTACCAGAGCATTTGAGTACAATCACAAATCTACCATAATGAAATGTAATCTATTAGTCACAAAACAGTCAACACAGATTTCGATTAAGCTGGAATGGTTGATTCAGGACCCTCTCGATTTATATTGAAAGTAAAAAGCAGTTGAAATGATTTATTTCAAAATGTAGATGTTTTTAACTAATATCCTTCAAATCTATCTATCAATGTTCATGATCGCGGTAGTGTTCAAAACGTTTGTAGCCCACCAGTAATCCAATTATTTAATAATCACATTTCAGTTTTAAATTAACCATAAATCTTGATCGGAATTCGTGAGTTGCTTTTATTTAAAGGTAAATGTATGTAAGAATATGAAATCATCCACGTGTGTTTGAAATGCTTCTGATAGGCTAGTATAATGATATTTCAGATCGAAAATAATAAGAAATTATTATGAATACTTCACGTGTATTGTAAATAACATTTAAAGTAGACCTATCGCCTTCATTAAACTCTTAAGTGAGTTCGTTGAGTTTGATTTACCAATATTGGACGGAATTAAACTATCTGCATATCAAAGATCCCCATCGTGATAATTAGAAAAACAAACACAAGCGAACAATAATTTTTTTGCTATAAGATCGTCATCAGGCTTTACCCTAATATACATGAATATTCAGATGAAAATACTGAACCAATCAAGGCAATAAAATACATCGCATAACTAAATATAATAAATTATATGATTATTGGCAAAATGCCAATCAATGAATTACTGATGTACATTTTGAGAATCTGTAATCCCAAACAAATGACTTAGTATCAACCTCATTGGAGGAACTAGTTAATTTTAAGACTATCTTAGTCGACAGATGTTAACAGTACAATAATAGTAAATATACCTTTTATGAGGACGGTCCACGGGAGAGCTTGAGGAATCTGTAAGAAGCTCAGAAAGAGCCGAAGATATTCCATTCAATCACTTTTTGGAAGAATTTACTAGAATCCATACGTGTAGCTTCCCAATTAGACAATGCTAATAACCCCCTGTGTGAGGATTGGATAGTTATAATGATTAGTTCGTTTTTAATTAAAACTATAAATGCCTGACAGTTTGTACTATAATTTGACACTGTCTGGAATAAAATTTCTTTCACTTGTCTTCTGTCTTCTCATTTGCTACTCGGAAGGGTTCTAACGTTCAAGTGCTTAAATTATACGTGGTATATAAAGAATATAATCTCTAGATATAACACCTTTATAAAGTAAATCTGATCAGGTGTCTTACAAACAGAGAAAAATTGATCTGATTAGATAATACCATAATAAAGGAGTTGGGGTTTGTTAACAATATACTAACTGAGATAGGCTACTCAACAAGTATTTTAATGAAGTACACATCTACAGGGGAAAAATAAGTTGAAGATATTGGTCACTTGTAAGAAACCCCTATTCTTAAAACTATAATGCGGCAGGGATGTCGCTAGCAATATCTTACATGATATAGCAAAATCTAATAATAAAACATTCAAGGGAACAATTGTTTTCAATTAGATCGTCATCAGGCAATTCGGGTCAATAATCATTGTGATTGATTGGTTATTCATTATGGTATCAGGTTACGTAAAATGGGTCGAGTAAATCAAATATTCCTTTATCATATACAATGGTAGTTTTCCTATAGAAAGTTAAATTTACCATTATTCAAAAATGCAAACATCTTTATATACTCAGAGAGGGGTTTTGTGGATATTATAATAAATTCAATGGTTGAATTCATGAGTCACTTGAAGCTAGACCACCATATAAAACCTAAAAGCACTGGACAGCCGTTCCGTCCCATTGTGGGACTCCTCAACAGTGCACATCCACGACCCCGTCTAGCGAGATTCGAACCCAGGACCTATCAGTCTCGCGTGAGAGGCCTTAAACACTAGACCACTGAGCTGACCGGCATTCAACGATGTTAATGTTTAACTTCAACTAATCCACGAATTCGAGCGACACATCCACTATTGTCTTCAGTGAGTTACTATCTCACAACCGACCCGCCTAAACTCCACTGTTCAATGCTTCTCAATAGAACTCCAGGAAATACCCCATAGAGACCGTCACTAGTGAGCATATGATGATTATAATCAGAGAGGGGTTTTGTGGATATTATAATCATTTTATTAGTTAAATTCATGAGTCAATTGAAGCTAGACCACTGCTGAAAAGTCCCACACTAGAACGAATCGTCCGTCTAATGCTTTCAGGTTTTCCATGGTAGTCTAGCTTCAATTGACTCATGAATTCAACTATTAAAATCTTTCAATACAATTATATTCACCACAATCAACATAAAATATCACGTCTAGTTCAATTTTGATTCGGATTTCTCATTCTTTGAACAGTTGCATTATTAATTTTGTTTGTGTTGCATAATAATATGGCATGAGAGATTTATTGAATACAATGACAGAAAAATTAATTTGATTCCACTTATTATTGAGTTATGCTTTGAAGAAAGCTGACAGTGAAACATTTGATTTCCTACTAATGAATAATTTAACTTTGAATTTCAAGTGTTATGGACAATTAGTCTACTTGCTTTACCCATCTTTATTTCTGTAAGCTTACATTCTTGATGTAATGGCCGAATAAAAATATCTTCTGTTTTTAACATATAAAACTATGAAACGATAATATGACCGGTGAATGAGTTTGATCTACCACTAGACTAGATACTTGATCAATATGATATCAAGCAGATTGAATCCCGTTATACCACATGCACGATTCACTACAAAAATAGAAAAAAATAGAAACTAAACGATATATTATTCAACATATTGACAAGGATTCTACACTCACTGAATCAAGCGTAGAAATCAATAACGACAACTGATATATCTGAGAACCTTTAATTAGAGAATTCACTTGAAATTAATCGAGTTGTGAAAGTTGAATGATAAGGTTGTAAAGTGTACATGGATTCCACAACGAAGTGTTGGTTGAAGACTATTGAATTTGTCAGATGTACACCAAATAAATTAGTCTCTAGAATAGCATCACTCCATATATATGAAGAGAGATAAAGAGTGAGGAGTAATTCTGAAGAATGCCTCCTATGTTACACCTGATGACAATTTTTGAAAAGTTGTTTTCAGTTGGACCGACGTAGTTCTAAAATATGATCCGCTTCTGTTTGCAACTACCCATCATGTAAAAAAACCAACTCTTGCTTGACATTTGTAAAATAATTCTTTCAACTTATACTATGCATTCATTGGCAGTTGTGCAATTTGACGAAGATGTTTTAACCATAAATGAAAGAGAAACCGTTATGAAATTTTATACCTGTATCAATACTAATCAAAATAGTCACTTCAAATCAAATTTCCTGAGAACTTAATCCAAGAGTTTTACTCTAACAGTTTTGTCGTGATTCTACGCTAGTTTTATTGAAGCTCAGGATGTTGTTGATGTATGTGATGAAGTTGAACATGACTCGAAAATATTCTATGTTTTGTCAACTGCTAATTGTAAACCTCTTTTACTAACTGATATTTGGTGTTTATTGAAACTATTCAACCTGTAATAGAATGTTACGGAGACAAGGAAGTTCAATAGCTTAGCTTCTTTCACAGCTTACAACACAGATTGATGTTAGTCAGACAAACACTGAAATTTAAGAAGCATTGAACATTAGTTTCGGCCTTGTATATTAGACCTCAGTGTGCACTACGAACTCAGGATCTATAAATTTCTCAGCGAGTGCTTGACCCTTACACTTCTAGGACAGTATCTAGTGGTTTCCACATTTAACTCTAGTCAGTTGGCGAAATTTCACAAGTACGATTGCCGTTTCATTAGTGATATTTCTTGTACACTACGAGATATGAAGGTCCTCAACGTGGACCCTGATTGAGTCGTGAATGAATTGTCGAAAATGTCCATAACAGAGTAAAATACATGTCCAGTGCTATCCAGATTTCAATGTTTAACTGACTAAAATCACTTCATAGTGTAAACTATGATTTACATCATTTACTTTATCAAGACAAACATTAAAGAACAAAGAGTATTAGATAATTGTTTTGTTTCATTATAAGACTTTTCAAAAGTAGTTATTGTCATTCAAAGTATTTTATGTAGACTAAAAGTAAGGTCTTATTTAGTGTTTAAAGAGTGAAGTGTATATTCTGATAGCTCTATATGATCATCATTTTCAAAAAACAAAAATACATAGTACAAAGTATACTTCCATCTAAAATCACTCCTGATTGATTGTTATCTCTTAAATTTTAAAGTGGAAATCTTTTAAATTAGTGTTTATCATAAGCATAACGAATAATGGAGTTTAGTTGTTAACAAATTTATATGGAACAATATTGGTAATTCATTAATCAATTCAGTTTATTGTGAGTAGATAACTGTATTTCATATTTATTTATTTATTTATTATCAGCTTTATTCAGTATTATATTGTTTGATACAATATAGAATTCTCAGCATAAAGTATTTCAGTGTGGTTCTGTTTCTTATTTCTTGATCGGTCTTAATGATGAATATTGAATGATCTCTAGTGAGATATTAACATTTCAGAAGTCCATATCTGAATAGTGTTCATTCCTTTCAGTGTACATTGCTAGTTATCACGATGTCTCTGATTGTATGTTTTTGTAACTTGTACAGTGAAAGGTCGTAAACTTTTCACAAACACAGCTCAATAGGTTGTTCAATTAATTGATATAATGATCTATTAAAACAAATAAGGGAATAGATAACTTGTTGAAATATCTAGATGGCAGCAACAAGTAGCCCAGATATTCAAACAGGCCTCCTTTTCCTTCCAGATGCATGTTCATAATAGTAGATATTGTCACATTGAGTTGAAATATTTATGAATTTCATTACATACTTGTTATATCCCGATGAGAATAATGAATGGTAACTTTTGGCACCCATTTATATATATCGTATAATTGTTATGTAACTAACCTATTCATATTCATATTCCTCTTATTATAAGCTTTATTCTGATCTATGAACTGTTATTATACGATTTAGCATTCTTAAATTATGCCCTCTCTATCAATTACTACCTCCCAAATTCACAGCCACATTCGGCTACAAATGTTGTTTCCTATTTTATGGTACAATGTGGTCTGTCTGGTTGGTATATAAACCCAGTATTTTGGAAATAAATAATTCATATCACAGAGGCTAAGAATGGTGTTCTGGATTTAATAGGCTAGGCTAGACGGGAAGCAGAACCGATAAAAAGACTCTAGACTGCTCGTACGGGTTTTTAGGCGTCATTGGTCCGATCAATAATTCACTTTTTTCTAATTGGCGGTATCATTACGTTATACATTAACAGGGTATATAGACCACAAGTTATAACAATACTTAAGATATGCTTCATATAAAATACTCAAAATATGCAAGTATATTACGTTTGAGATTAGATGGTGGTTGGAGGTAGTCAACAGGAAACCATGGACTCGGGTTTCGTGCTACTTGGCACTCGTCACCAAGGTGTACCTGTAACCTTGAGAGACGTTACATGACATTGATCACCACCCAGTGATCAATCAAATGTGATTACATATCAGTCCTACAGGAAGTTGTCGCGGCCCGGATAGCCCAGTGGTAACGTCTCAGACTGTGAAGCTGGGTGACACGAGATCGAATCCTCCAGGGAGCACCAGCTCTCTCAAAATTACAGGTACACCTTGCTGACGAGTGCCAAATAGTAGGAAAACTGGTTCCAGAGTTTCCTGTCGACTACCTCCAACCACCATCTAATCCCAACATGGTGCACTCAATGTCGAGTCATCTAGACTAGTGGTCACATTGCAACTTGGTCGATAGCATTCGATCTGCACTAGGAAGGACTTGACACACATGACATTGATCACCACTTAGTGACCGGTCGATTGTAAAGTATATTACATTGTTATGTATCATCTGATGACTTCATACAAACATTTAGAAGTGAATAATCAGTGGTAAGATACTTAAAACTATTGATATCTTTCATGATTATCAGAAGGGGTTTGTGGAGATTTTAGAAATTTCACAGATTGAAATCATGAGTCAGTTGAAGCTAGACCACCATGAAAAACCTGGAAACACTGGACGGCCGTTTCGTCCTAGTATGTGACACCTCAGCAGTGCGCGTCCACGATCCCGCACCCAGCGGGATTCGAACCCAGGACCTACTGGGTTGTTTATAAATACTTTCTCTATAGAATCAATAATATTACCTATAAATGAATGTTTAATGTTTACTATTCTAATTTTGATTATTAAATTGTAGATAATTGTAGATAGATCATTACAAATAGAATGTTATTTAAACAAAATAATAAACATGTCAACAAATGGAAATTCTCATCTACTGTAGATTTGAAAAAAGTAAACATAACGATTTAATGGATTTCAATAAAATACATAGTTCTTTATCATTATTTGTTTACCTTTAATTGAAATGATTATTACTACAATACTCATGTGTAAATTGTAAGTTTTAATCTTGTAACTAATTGAATCATGAATTATATTTTAGTTGTGATAAATGTAAGAACATTCATCAATATAAATGGTATCTATTAGGTTTAATGTAAGTGGTAGAAATTAAATTTAATATTATCTAAAATCTTTTTTGTTTTTAGTATTTGATTGAGATCATGAATCGATTGATATTAGATCATTATTGAAAACCTGAAAGTATTAGACGGCCGTTTTTATTCCCGCTCATGGGATTTGATCTCAGGGTTTTCAGTCTCGTGTGCAAACTCTTAACCTCTAGACTACTGAGCTAATCGGTATCCAATCATGCTAATGTTTAACATCAACTAATCCACAAAATTGTTTTAGTATTTCAAATAAACAATCAATTATGTGACTTGTAGTTATGTAATATAATGTAGGGAAATCATAGCAATATATAGGTGTCATTAATCAGTTTAATGCACTATCAATATATTATGGTGATTAAGTCACATAAACAGTTGTGCTCTCAAAAGAGGTTTTGTAGGACTGCATAGTATAATGACTGTTGAAATTTCTATTTGGAGCTATTCCCGTTCATCAACCTAAAATATCTGTACTTGATGCAACTCTTTAAGTGGTTGAACAAGAACTAGAATGGTTTTTAGGAAATGGGTGTTACTGAACCCGTGAACTTCTCAGATTCGGCTGCACTGAAAGTGGTGGTCGAGAAATTCAATGACAACGTTCGCTTATGTGCAGATTACTTTAATGGACTAAATGAAACTCTAGAGTTTCACTAATATCTTTTACCTTGACCTAAAGATCTTTTTGTCAAGCTAAACAGTGACAAGTATTTTGCGAAATTCGGTTTATCAGACGCCTATTTACAAATCCCTGTAACTGATGAAAGTAAAGATCTCCTCACGATCAACACACACAAGGGTTTGTCCCGATATGACTGACTTTCCTTTGGAGTGAAGACGGCACTCTTTATATTTCAGAAAATTATGGATACTATGTTACATAGTATTCTAGGAGCGGTGACTTATTTGGACGATGCCACACACATGGGAGCAGACAAAATAAACTTGCAAAAGCAACTTGACCAGGTGCTAGCATGCATAGCTGAATATGGTTTTGCCTCCATGCAGAAAAGTGTGACTTCTATATGCAACAGGTACGGTACCTCGGTTTTATAATAGATAAAGATGGAATACAACCAGATCTAGAGAACGTTAAAGCTGTAAAAACTATGCCTAGACCTAAGGACATCCCTATCGTACGATCTTTCTTAAAATTGGCCAGTGATTATGGAATTTTCCGTTCTGATCTCTATCGTCTGCGTGCTCCACTAAACCACTTACCTGAAAAGAATGCGAAATGGGATTGGTCGACAAATTGTCAAACAGATTTCGAGAAAATCAAGCATCTGCTAGCCTCCAATTTCTTACTTAAGCACTTTGGTCAATCTCTGCCAATGGTGGTTGCTTCATATGCTTCAAATTATGGTATCGTGGCAGTCACCTCTCATATTTTTCCCAATGGGTCTGAAAGGCGATCTTTAATGCAGCCAGATCATTAATAACGATAGGACAACACTGTAGTCAAATTGAAAAAAACCCTATTGATTATCTTTGCCGTAAAAATGTTCCACATGATGATATTTGGTCGGCGATTCACCCTATAAACAGACTATAAAACATTGTTGGACATATTTGGGTCGAAGAAAGCGACTTCAGGGTATACAGCAAACAAACTGTAATGATGGACAACAACACTTCTGAGCTACGATTTCATGATTAAACACCAGTCTACTACAGCTTTTAGGCAAGCTGATGCCTTATCGAGACTAATAGGTTTTCAGACAAAAACTTCAGAAGACATCCTCGTAGCAAATACAAAAGCTGAATAGGAAGTTCATCGCGTATTGGATGACTCAATCGATAGACTACCAGCCACCTTCGAGGCTATCAAGGAAACCACCGAAACTGACAAGACATTAAGAGAAGTTAGGAGTTATCTTTCTGCAAAATGACCAAACCATCGCTGTGAAGGAGAAACTTTGCAGCACTTTTGTCGACGTGACTCACTGATGGCTATCGACTCATGTATTATGTTCGGTGATCGAATTGTCATTCCAGAATTATTGCGCCACAATGATCTCAAGCAGTTCCACGGTAGTTACATTGGGATCAATAAAATGAAATCACTGGAGTGAAGTTACGCTTATCGGTCCTCAAGGGACTGAGATATCAAAAACAAATGCCGCAACTGTTCAACGTGTCTGCAAGCTGCTGGATATCCTTCGAAATGAGAACCACAGAAATTGCCTAAGCCTGTTGAACCCTGGAAGAGACTTCATATGGATTCCACTGGTCCAGTCCAAATTGAGGTATTTACGAAGTGGCCAGAAGTATATGGTATAACCAACTGTACAGCCTCAGAAACCATCAACAAATTATCTACTGTGTTCAGTTGTTTCAGAGTTTCAGAGAACTCGGTGACTGATAAATGCTCACAATTCATTTTGGACTCATTCAAGCACTTCTGTAGTATATATGAAATAACACATCTACGCTCTCCACTCTACCATCCGCGGTCGAATGAACAAGCAGAAATCGTTGTCGACACTTTTAAAATAGCATTATTAAAAGGAGAAGATGAGAGGACAACTAGTCAGGTAATCATAAAATTCTTAACAACTTACAAGACTACTCCCAACCCTACTGTTCTAGGCGAGAAGTCTCCTGACTAAGTCATATTTGGAACAGGTATTCGAACTATTTTCAACGTTATGTTGCCACCTAAAGTAGTGGATAAGCACAGACAAGACCCCAATATCCGAATTTTTAGTGTGGACGATAAAGTATTCGTCAAGTCATACCTCGGAAAGAATCTATTGGAACCAGTAACAAATGTACACAGATTGGGAAGAGTTTTGTATAGGGTCCGAGGAGCCTTCAAGACATGTATCTGACACACCAATCAAATTTGCAAAGATAGATGAATGACGCACAACGAAGATAGCCAGGTGAATCTACCATTAGAGTTCAACACATAAACATCAACGACACATATGTCCGAAGATACCGAAAATAATAGAAAGATGAAGACTTGAACAAGAAAGACAACAAAAAGAATGGAACACCACCGCAAACCAGTTGTCAAGCTGCAAGTACACCGGAAGAAGGTGAAGTTTTATGTTTTGAAAAATGGAAGGTTTTGGAGAGATCCAGAGTTTTCCTCGGAAAAAGCACAGAGGGGCCCTGAAAATACTGAAAAATATTTTGTCCGATCGGCACTGAATAGAAGTTTCTCAGAAACATCTAAAAAGTGAAGAGCCACATTTCTGACTAAACGACTGCTCATCATGCTACTATCTTTAGTAAGGTTCCAGAACCATATAGAGGCTCAAGGCCGTCTGAAATGTGATAAGTACCCTGAATTTTCTGTACATCAAGTAGCCTTGGAGTAAAGCGTTCTTTCCTATTTCGCGTCTTTTCTCTCGTGTTCAAGTTATCGTGTAGATTTAATCTGGAGTTATTAGAAAAACTTGGGAAATTGATCCTAGAGTTCAGTAGGAAGATTTATCAATATGTAACCACTTCATATCACTTACTATTTAATATTCATAGTATGATAATGATATTATTCATCCACTTAACTTGTAATAATTCGAAATATGGATGTTACTATAAATATATCTTATTGATAAAATGAAAGATTAGAATCCATTTACATTTTTACGTAACATTAACTAGGTTTATATTAGTAATGTATTTGTAATAACTGTAAAATTACTAAAATCTCCATAAAAGCCCCTTCTGACAATAACCATATGCTCACTAGTGACGGTCTCCATGGGGTATTTTCTGGAGTTCTAATAAGAAGCACTGAACAGTAAAGTTTAAGCTGGTCACTTGTGAGATAGTAACTCACTAAAGTCAATGGTAGATGTGTCACTCAATTTCGTGGGTTAGTTGAACTTCGACACTAACACATATGGATACCGGCTCAGTAGTGTAGAGGTTAAACGTTCGCACGTGAGACTGATAGGTGGTCCTGGGTTCGAACCTTAAGAGTGGTGTCGTGAGTGTGCACTGCCAAGAAGGCTCACATTAGGACGAAATGGTCGTCTAGGGATTCCAGGTTTTCCATGGTGGTCTAGCTTGAATTGGCTGATGCATTGAACTATCAAGTATCCAAATTAGTTGGAAAATTAAATTTTCAAGTGTTTAATTACTCAGTGTAGGCCACTTCTTCAGCGAATTAATAAATAAGCATACTAAATTACATAGTACGAGGAAACAAAACAAAAATACTTAGTATGACCAGTTAAAACTCTGGTCAATGTGATTTTAGACGAAACATGTTTATGTGTATTTTTGTGCATGTTAATTAGTGTAAAAAGTATGACCTTTGTAATATGAAAAGACAGAGTTGATTTTGTACATAAGATAATAATGTAAGATGCCAATAGAATTAAATAGATGGGTAAATGAACTAAATCGGATAGATACTGAGGCTTTTTTTCCAGTGAGGATAATAGGATTTATCAATATGTGGAAAGCTATAGCTACTCGCCTTTCATTGTAGTTGGAAAAGATTTTCTGTAATATGACGTTGATCTGATCACATTAACTAGTTTCGATACAAAAAAAACGAATCACAATCCCCACGAATTACATTACTATCAATTTCATTCACTTGACTACAGAATCTACATTATGGAGAAACACTCATCACCAGAGTCGTTCATATGATTGCGCACACTGTTCATTGAATACAATTATGTGGTTATTGATGCTGGCTGCTTAAGTTACTCATTTTCTAAAATTATTGAAAACACCAAATAATTCAATTAGATATTTCATTCGTTGTACCAGTGACTTAGAAAATACTGAATAAAATTATAACTTTTTAAAATATGTTTTCATTTGATGTTGAAATCAGACCAAGTTCCGTAATTTTCTCACTTCTAATGGTCACTATTCGTGATATGCGTGCACGTTTCCCAATTAATTATGTCTTCTTGTTTTTAAATGTAAGTTTTTAATGTATTTAAATTGTACATTGTGTTCATTGAAATATCCCATATTCTATTTATTGTCAAATGATAAATGATATTAGAATGAACTAATTGGTTTGAACGTTTATATAAAATAATCTGTCTTTAAAGACTCTTAATTGACATGTGTTACCAAATAGTGATTAAATTCAAGCAGGGGTGAATGGTGGTTATCAGTGAAATCTAGAGTGCGTGTTTCATCCAACTTGGGACTCGTTAGCTAGATGTACCTGAATCCCGTAATTGATATTCATTTCGGGACTCGAACCTAGTACCTTTCGCTTCAAACGTTATATATCTAGGCAATCTGCACAGGATCCACATATGCCAAAAGAGACTGATCAATTGCAGTGGTAAACATTAGTGGGAAAATCTAAACAATCAATATATATGAATTAAAATGAATAACTAAATTATTTTGAAAAATAAAGTAACAGTTGTAAATACAACCAACAAATTCATTTGGTTTATGGACGTTGCTTTCACTTAGATTCTTATACTTTGTACAAATTATAACTTTCATTAAAGTGTTCAACTAATAATTTAGTGTGAACGAAGAATATTCTTTTCAATAATTTCTCATCAGGTTCTACAGTTATAAATCCAGAGTAATAATCCATAAAATTGGCCAGATTTAAGGCAAAATACATCATCTTCACTTGATATTGTTTTACTTGAATCTTCCCATTGATGTTTTTTGGACTAAAATTGGTCAGTCTCTTATTGGCATATGTGCATATGCCTCGATATTGCCTTAATTTACAAGCGTTAGAAGCAAAGATGGATAGTGGCTAGCAGTGGAATCCAGGACGCGCGTCTCGTCCTACTTGGGACTCATCAGCTGGATGTACCTGCATCTCAGAGTTGATGTTCACTCTGGGACTCGAACTCAGTACCGTTCGCTTCAAACGCCATCGCGTTAGCCACTTAGCTACTGAGTCCTGATAGCCACTTGCTTATGCAATGGGTTGAAGTTTAATTTCACTTGATATTGTTTTACTTGAATCTTCCCATTGATGTTTTTTGGACTGAAATTGATCAGTCTCTTATTGAGGCTGACTAATATGAAGTGTTAACTTGAATCAGTTTATAAGCGAAATGAAATTGTGAGATAAATGAACAGAATAAATATGGTCAACATGGGGTAAGAGAGAGAGAGAGAATATTGTGATTACAAATCGGAAATTACGTAATATATAAAATAATTAGGTCAAGTATAGTAGATTCAGGGGTGGATATTGAATAAATTCCTCAAAAAGGGGGTTATCAAGTGTAAAGACAATAACAGTAATAATAATAAGTTTGAGACATAAAATGAACATTAATCAGTTTACGTCACCACATTATGAGATTGATTATTAGCTAGTTGGCCAGGGTAAAAGGAGTGGCTGAACAAACTTCTTTTAGATACAAAGCTCCTGTTTCAGAGGCGACTTAAGTTAAGTAGATCTATTCAAAGGACTTTTAATGCAGCTAAACGGATAAAAAAACCAATCTCAATCAAATGTTTCGCAATGAAGAATGATGTCTGTGATCTTATAGCTTTTACTACATAAAAAATTTATGCATTACCAAAAGCTACAAATGATAGTGGTAGATTTCATTTAGCCAACTCTCAAAGTCCTGATATGATTGTTATCGTAGAAATCGTAGCTATTTTTTAAAAAGTGATTTCAGTAATCAATTTATCAATAAAATCCAGTGTTTCCAGGTTTTCCATGGTGGTCTAGTTTCAATGGACTCATGAATTCAACTATTAAATTACTAAAATGTCCACAAAAACCCTTTTCTGATTAAAATCTATTCCATACTTAGTAAAACCAATCCGTAATGAACTATGTAAGTTTTCAATAAAACCTATGCTACAAGTAATGACATACTATAAGTTTTCTTTTGAATTGTATTATTCATGAATTTCTATTTTCTCATTTGTGAAATTGTTTTTTTTCTTTTGCTGGAATAATAGACTCTGTTATTATGTTACGCATTTATACCACCAATACTAGGGATAACAATTGGATATATAATGATATCCTTTAGTGCCGCAGCATTTATTACATTTTCAATGATAATACTCGGGATGTTCATCAAGGTTAAAATTCCTTTTGTTTTGTTGATTACTGTTTTAAGCAGTTTCATCATTACAGGGCTTGCAATATCTGTTGTATTGTATTTTACCCACAAAGAAGTACGTTTCATAAAATATAATTTTAACTGAATGATATTGATAAACGTGAATTTGTAATGTCGCATAGTGTTTGATGTTTGCATCCACACCTGTCAATGACCCAAATATCTAGTATTACGGAAATAAATAATTGAAATTATTATCCACATTGATATAGTAGTTACTGAATAATTCCAACTGATTTTTCTCCGTTTTTATTTGTTTATCTATATTATCACAAATACGGTCTTCACTTTAACTGGCGAAATTCAGCTAACGCAGTACCACCAATCCTGAATGATTTGTTTTCTTAGAATATATCTTCAAATGTTCAATGAAGTTTAAGAAATACTCTAAATTGTTTCACATAAGAAGTCCATTATTCGATAGATTACATACGCTGACGAACAGTGTTAATCAGCTAACACATGTTTAGTTTGAAATTGTATCATAGATCCCGTTTAATTTCTCCCTGAAAATTGTCAATCTGTCTGTACAAAGGATATAAAATGGCTGAACCAATGCTGACTAGCGTATAGGTATTGAATTATTTTGTCATCTTTTATTTGTAATTCGAATCACGATAAGAATGTTGCGTTACATCATATCTACATATTCGTTGAAAAAAGATCTGACTTCGAGGTGTTTCTGCATAATGGATTGCATCAGTGAATGTAAATGATGGTTTATTTAGTTGTTTTTTTTTGCAGTAGCGTATCAGATATAATCTTAGTCCGTGCTTCCAACAAGGTTGACTCCAAGGTTAGTGTATTTTAACTAGCAGTTTGATAAACAGACATTTTCTAGAATCCCCACTGAATAGATTTCGATTGAAGATTATGCTTCATGAGAATATTTCTCAGGTTTTAAATTTTTAATATTTATGTAACAGTGGATACTGAGGGAGTAATTTTGCATATCTAGTTAAAAACAGGATATCATTGATACATTTCGTCATTTTTCACTGGGATTATTTTTTTTCTATTTAGGTAGCACTTCATGTAATGGGAACATTTTTTATCTTGTCAGTTTTACCGGTAAGTTAAACACAAGAAAAAACTGAAAGTGCGATTATAGTAGGACAACTGATAATTACTGTAATAGTTGGGATCATAAATCAACTAAAGCTAGACCACCATGGAGAACCTGGAAGCACTGGACGGCCGTTTCGTCCTGGTGTGGGACTCCTCATCAGTGCTCACCCACGATCCCACCTCGCTAGATTCGCACCTAGGACCTGCCAGTCTCACGCGCGAACACTTGTCTGCTAGACCACTGAGCCTGCATCCGATGGTGTCAATGTTTAACTTCAACTAATCCATGAATTTGAGCGACACATCCATCAGTGTCATCAGTGAGTTACTATCTCTCAACTGACCCGGTTGAACTCCACTGGTCACTGCTTCCATGGTGGTCTAGCTTCGACTGACTCATGATCTCAACCATTGAAAAAAATAATTATTTAATAAAGAGTGAGTAAAATGAAAAATTCGTCGTTTATTAAAGAAGAATCAGACGATTGAAATAGCTAAATGATAATTTCATTAACCAAAAACAATGAAATAGAAACTACCTATTGTTTACATGCGCATGTGAACTTTATAAACTATAACCTCAACTAGTAGAATTGTATTTTATTTCTCTCGTAGTTTACTGTGACATCAAGAGCATGTTTTTCTCTATTTAAAATTTTTATTAGGTCCTGTTATTTATTGGCCAGCAGCTGAAAATTGAATACTCTCCATGGATGCTTCCCTCCAATTATATATTATATGCTGTACTGGTGTCAGTAATATATTTGTTCATATTCTATTCAATCGCTGTGCAATTTTTAAATCACAGAAACAAATCAACACGTTATGGCTGTTAATGTGTACAATGTAACGTCTATAAATCGAAATGTATCGTTTCATTTAAATTATTTTAATTTCAAATGGCAATAGTTATTCAACAGTTATAAATATATCCTGCCGCTTGTTTTTCTAGTATTTCTCACAGATCATGGAATTGAGGCTTTAATGTCCTCATCTGGATATAGTTATCAGTGTATAGAGTAGAATGCTTTGTAAGTTTGTGGGACAGTGCCAGTCGGAATCATTCTTTACTTTGGAATATATCTTGTCTTATAGTAAGCTGCAGTCCCTTCGTGTTTTCTGAATACAGTGCTGATTCGGCTAGCAAGTATTAAAAGAAACCACCAGGTATCTTAGCTAACTTTGTTTGTAGAATTCACCATCAATCCCTTTTATACAGGTCCAAATTTAAAAAGTGATCTGTCGAAGTTAACTAGTTCAATTTTGAGCAAATCAGCCATCACAACTAGCGAATTGAGTGTCTTATTATTTAAATTAAAATCATAAGAGTTGTATGCTTGTTAAGTAATTTGTCGGCTAGCCAGAAAAGTGATTATAGTCCGACTTTCAGTAAGAAGTTCAAGTAAGTCATCACCTTCACATTGATTTAGTAACTTAATAACCCAAACCTGATTCTTCATTAACATTACCACACGACAGTTAAGTTCTTTTAATTATGATTTAAAACACCCTTTTTCTTGTTGCCTGGGCATTTTATATTTGTTGCTAATCTGTTTAGTATATTCGAGCAAGGGTTGATGACAGGAGAGTTGTCATTGTTGTTAATGTTATTATAATCAAAGGCAAGATTTACATGGTTACTCTCATCTAAAGTGAAGGTGAAGTTGTAATCAGTTGTTCTGACTGTTCTTACTCATTTACGTTATCTGAGACTAACTTCATTCGTTTTGATCCATGTATTTTACCCACCTTAGATGAAATAAAAGTTGTTAAAATGACTGAAAGATGGTTAAATCACACAGAATCTTAATCTAAGAAAACTTATCAATAAAACGTTAATGCTATTAATGACAAAATACAATAAAAAAACTCCACTGTTGAGGCATATAAAACATCAATGTGCAGTCAAATCAGAGTAGGTTTCTGTTATAGTTATACGAGTATTGAATATTGAGAAAACAACAAACTAGGACGAAATGGCTGTCTAATTATTCCAGGTTTTCACGGGCGGTATAGCACTGCAAGATTAATAAGTTGAGTGAAATAACACGAGTTACTCAATATTTGCAAGTAATATAGTTAATAAACTAATCAAAATCAGCAGTTAAGGTGTGAAAGCGAAGAAGAGTTCGAAATTAAAGTAAAATGAAATCAATTATTTTAATCTATGAGTAGTGCTAACTCAACCATAATCAATTTACACAAACTTTGACCACATGATGTTGATAACGTGGCAGCCATTTCAAACAATTTCAGTGACAATAACATATGTATAATCACTTCTTCATTTTATTCAGGACCACTTCATCGACGGACAGTTTCAAATTATTTAGATATTACAAGAGAATCTGTTGAATCAACATAATTCCTAATTTTACTTACAGATATGGATAGTGCAGAGTTATAAAACCCCGAATTTAAACTAACCGTTTCCGAAGACTGATGTAACTAAATAGAAGAAAAAAAAACTTGTAAAATCCCATAAATTGAATTTAAAGTAAATCCAACGTTTCGTTCGAATATAAGTAAGTAAATGTCTTGTAACCCAGTATCTGACTCCAGTCCAGTCGTACAAAGGTGCTATGAACATAAATCTTCCATTTAATTCCGTACATTACCTAGGCTAACCCCGCTTATGTTTCGGCGGTAGTGAGAAACGGGAAGCAAAGTGTAGCGGAGAAGACGAGTGAACCAACTCGATTTGATCAAGCATAACTCAATATTTATAACCATTAAAAATAGACGAAAGACATGTGCTAGGTAGGATAAGCAATAAATACACACTCATACAAAAACAATCGAGGTTAATAAGTGATAAGGTCATGATATAACCCAAGAATAATGACTAAACTTTTCTATCTGGAAGCTAGAATAACGCATAACATAACACTAGACACTACAAGGCCCCCCTGTATAAAATAGCACATTAATTTGGAGAGAAATGCCTGTTTTCGAAAACAACACCAAAGAGGTATGCGGTGAGTGTATGCTGCGAAAGTGTCATATTTATGTAAAGAGAAATATCGTATAGGTGTGGACAAAGGTGAAAATGTGTACATACAATTCTGAGCAAAATATTAAGTATAAAAGAATAATTAACGTGAATATCGTGACTGTCTTTTTGATAAAATAAAACAAGTTTTCTACGCATAAAGTAGAGAGTTGCTTATACCTTGGCTGCATCTCTTATGTAGTTTGAGCTGGTGTCCATGGTCATAAGTTCGAGATCAAGCTCTGAGAAGAAATTCGGTAGCGGATTTCCAGGGAGGCTGTAAATTTCAGTTTCCTTTACAGTTTATGAAACCATCGAACAATGTTTTTATCAAATGCATTTGAACCTATCTTTTGTATCTCGTAATTGAAAATAAACAAACTTTGTTAAAATTAAAAATAGTGCCCTCACTATGGCTGTGTATTTCTGAACCCCCGGCAAGATCTACAAAATCTACTTAATAAGTTATTTTATGATAAATTTAAATGACAAGCAAACAAATACAAAAGCCGATGTTACATTTGAATAAAACAACTGAAAAGCGATGGCATGTAACTTTAATTACATCACCACACTCAGTATTCAAGATTCATAGCAAGAACCTCATCAACACCAATCTATTGTAGTGACTCACGTTTATCACGAGAACATGACTGGTTTAATAAAAACAATTATTATTATAACCAACTGTACCAGTGTTTGTTTTAACGTGCTTTTGTTTGACTGTGCTAATGACAGCTATTTTGTGCTTCCATACTTTTACTTACACTTCGATTGTAACTTCGCGCGAATTCGGTTACCTTCTGTAACCAAGCTTGTATCCTGGCACGATCTCGGTATCCTTTCGATACCACGAGATCGCCAGCAAATAAACCTCGACTTGGTCCATTAATTGCCTTCTGATATTTGGCTTCTCGGGGATTTTATGGAGTCATTTTAACGAGCTTCTTACGCCTTCTGATCTAATTGGCACGTGTTTATTGGTAGCGGTGTTCACAGTTAATCTCAACTCGACGCCACGCTACAATTGGTAATCCCAATTCGAATACACTATTATTCAAACCGAAAATCTTACGAATAACATCTCCGCTAATATTATCTACATGAATAAAGCATCTGAGTTTTAAAGCAACACATGAAGTAAATCTAAAACGATAAATCCAGTTCTTAATTTTCGTTATTTATCAAGGTAGCTAATATTCAGCAACTCGACACAAGTCATCCTAACATCAAGTACACAACTTTGTCTTTAATTGTTTTGTCAAATGCCAGTGATTAAGTGCCTAATTAGGCATATCTTGCTTTGTATTTTCGAAATTGCTTCTGTTTGTACCCAAATGGTTTCAAAGTTGTATTGAAAGAAAGAGTTTTATAACCTAACGATTAACATAAACTAAAACTTAATTCAAATTTACTTTACTATGAAATGAAAAAAAGATTAGAATGGTTACGAAAGTATCCAAGCGATAAACTTGTAATTTCATCTGGAATAATTTAGGATATCTTAAAAAATAGACTGATGCCAGGACCAAAAATAGGAAAATCTACGATACATAATAACAATTTTCGGAGAACAAAACAGATAAATATTTTGATTGAGATAATGAACCGATTGATGTTAGACCACCATTGAAAACCTGGAAGCACTGGATGGCCGTTTGGTTTTCATCCACACAGCTGATATTTCGATAAAATTTACAAACCGAAAATTTGTGGTGTTGTATGAACTAATGATTGTTTTTGTATTTATTGTATGCCTGATTTCGAATTCTAAACACAATACGTTAGTTTGTGCTTGCCTAGTTCTGCTTGGTCTAAATTGCGTTATTTTGGGGATTTCTAGTTTGTATAATAATTCAAATACTTCTTATCATTGCAAAATTCCTCACAGCAAACCTGAAAAACTAATAAATCGTCGAAACAAATACAAAAAAATGAATCGCAATCCACACAAACTACATTCCTATCAATTTCATTCACTTGACTACAGAATCTACATTAAGGAAAATTACTCATCATCAGAGTCGTTCATATGACTGCGCACACTGTTCATTGAGTACAGTTATGTAGTTCACAAGTGTGAAACCCGTGGATTTACATGTACAGAGAATACTGTTTGCCATTTCGCAATTGGCAATTGCGTTTACACAGAACCAATCTAATTCACAAAACAGCTGTCACTCTTCATATATTACTGTATCGAAAACTCTCCGGCTAGTCAATCTTCACAATCAGTAAAGGGTTTTTTCCAAGCTCTCTTATGGTGAGCACTTAAAACACCTTAACCCTTTCCCCTTATTGTATCGTACGATGAGAGGTGACCTCATATTGCCATTCCGTATATTTAATAACGATTTTGGTGTCAGTATGTTTTGTCTTTTTGCTCCCTCTAGAACTAATAATCTCGGTGACCTTAGCATGAAGGTTAAAAAACCGCAACCTCATAAACTTGGAGTGAGCTTCCGTTTTTCCCATCTAGTGATCAATGACTGGAATGCGTTAACCGAACAAGTAGTATCAGTTCCATCAGTAAACACTTTCAAGGAGAAGCTGGACCTTCACTAGTAAACAAGCTTCATGAATTAACACAGGCCAATCAATCTACTATCCTTATAATTAAAGACAGAGGATTGAAATGGTTAGTCAATAAGAATCATATTATTTCAGTGATAATGCCCAAGTCATGCAATCCGCACTTAATCAGTTGGCAATCAGTGTCCGTAGGTACGGTATGTGCTTTGCACCTTCGAAGTGCAAAGTAATTCTACAAGACTGGCAGGATTCTAATCCTGTATTCACCCTGGATGGTGAGCAGATAGAAGTAGTCGAGAAGTTCGTGCATCTAGGTAGCTGCATAAGTGCTGATGGTGGCGTGAGTGATGAGATCAATGCACGTATAGTGAAAGTCAGATTGGCTTATGCCAATCTGGGCCATCTTTGGCGCCTTCGTGAT